GCACAGGCCCAAACAGGCCCAGAAAACTACCAACTTGGTCCAATAGCCCCATTTTATGTCCAAAAAATATCCGGGATTATTAAACACGGGCGGTGAGGTAATTCGAGATAATATTCTCATTATCAAGGTATGTGACTAATCTAAATTATAAGCCAGAGGATTTTTAAATGCGCAAAAATTGGATAAATCTTTTGATTTGAAAAGTTTGGAGGCTTGAGGATTTGAGTTGGTAAAAATTGATAGATTACATGACTTGCTCGTGGATATTATTTGATTTGGTCGAGAAGATTGAATTATTCGTAGATATTGTTCGATTTGTTCATGGAAAATTATTTGATTTACTCGAGCAATTATGAGATTTATTTGTGGACGATTATTTCACTTATTTGAGGAGAATATTTGATTTATTCATTGAGGACCATTCGATTCGCTCGAGGAAATTAATTTATTCATGGATATTATGTGATTTGGTTTACTCGTTGAGAATTATTTGGCTTATTGGAGGACAACTATTTGACTTGCTCGAGATAACACTTGATTTATTCATGGAGTATGATATATTCATGTATATACGTGATTTATTCGCGGACATCATTTGACTTGTTCGAGGAGACATTACTTGTAGAATTCGTGAATGATTGTATGATTTATGCATGAGGGGATTATTTGATTTGCTCAAGCGATTATTTGATTCGTGTGTGGAATTATATGAATTATTCGAGGAGGCTATTTGATATATTCGTGAGGATTATTTGACTAATTTGTGGAACATTATTTGATTTGATCGAGGATACAAATTTTAATTAATTCATGAGGATTATGCGATTTATCCGTGAAAATTATTGGATTATCTGATTTGCTTGAATGATTATCGGATTTATTTGTGGATTATGTAATTTGCTCGAGCGATTATGCGATTTATTCATGGACATATTTGAATTTCTGTCGAGGAAACGACAAAATAATCCAAGTCTTGACAAGCTATGGCGGACGAGCTGTCGAGTATCGAAGACAAAATGGACGAGCATGGATGGATGAGGTCGATCACCGGTGGCAATCTCAAAGGCAAAATCATTCTCTTCTGGAGAGGTAAGACAACTTGGAGCGGTATTCTCGACCTTCAGGTACAAAGCTATTATCGACTCTTGTTCGGTGGTCATGTTTAATCAGCAGGGGTGTATGGTCATTCTTTGTGTACTTTGGACAAACTGTTGAGGAGATTGTGATGCATGTCGACATGGTTGAGATTATTATTCGGATGACTAACAAAATTATCGAGTGTTATCATATCTTGTTATGTTCGATGTTTTCCTTTTCGACCTCAGTGGCAGGTCGAAGAACTTGAGCACAAGTCGTCAGATACAACCAGGAAAAGGAGGTCGAATACATTTGATTCTTTATCTCATTCGATATCATTATGCACATTATGGACTAACAAAAATGATCGATTACTATCATATCTTGTTTTGTTCGATGTGTTCCTATCTGACCTCAGTGGCAGGTCAAAGGGTTCGAAGAAAAAAAACCCACCATGACTAAGGCCTCCGGGCTGGGTGGTCACATGTAA